GGTAGGAATCCATCTATTAAAAGAAGTAAATAAATGAATTCGCAGTTCCGTAATTGTTCGAACATAATTCGCACTATGTATTTTACCATTAAAAGACTTCCTGTAACATGCACAGTCAATAATAGTAATTTAAAAATTAAAAAGAACAAATTAAGAGAATAAAAGACGACCTAAATAGGTAAGGGCGAGAACAGCACATGTGGTAACCTTGAAAAAGGAACCACTAAGCTCTACTAAACAAACATGTAGTTTAAATATTTTGTTATTTAATTTCTAAACCTCTATGTTCTTTTTGATAAAATGCTTAAAGGTATGATAATTAAGAAACCACATTTATTATTCTTTGTGAACCCATTCGTCATGCCGAAAAAAAAAACAGGTCAGCGAAAAAAAGCGGAAAAGCAGAAAATCAGACAGAAAATGATGTTAGAAAGTAAGAAATCTTGTGACCTAGCTACAAATCCGTCCAATCTATTGATGGTAGGCTTAAAGTGCCGAGATAATATCGTACCTTCAGGAATGTAATTTTTGCGATAAAAGGCAAAAAAACAGAGCGTTTTGTTACTTTTGTCAATCCATGCAACGGCTGCCAATTTGCGGACATTGCGGAAAGCAAAAATGCATGTCGAAATCCGGTGATTGTGTCATTAAACACGGCTCTAGCCACGCGACCGGTATGTCGATGTTGGTAAGCTTTTAAATTTTTGTCACTAGTAACACGTGATAAAATTTTTTTAAATACATTATGTTTGTTGAGAGAAAGTTGTTTATAGGTAGTGATTCATTTTCTAATGTTTATTCTTTCGCATAGCACCCTCATCGTTTGAGCTGTCCCTGTGCTGTTAATTTCCCTATTTAAACCATAAGTACGCTACTTTTTCTATAATTGTGTTTTAATGTCTTCGATTATGCCATTCTTCATCAGCTAGGTCTCAAATACCTTGCTTGTTTTGAGTCTAAACGCTATAGACTGAAGCAGCAATTAAATGTTCTATTGAGGTGATATTTAGCTTATCTCTTTTATTCGCAACCGGCGCAATATCAATAAAACCGTAATTAATTTTGCTAGCCATCAGATTCTTGCTTATCTCAAAAACTTTAGCATTCAAAATTGATTCCCAACTTTCTTTCTTGCAGGGAGCCATATGCGACCACTGTGAGGCCTGGATCTGTCATAGTGCAGCCTGTCTATCCGTTCATGGCTGTGAATGTCCCCTACGAGACGCGATGTGCATAGAATGCGATAGAAGTGTTTGGGACCATGGTGGAAGAATGTTCTCTTGTGCTTACTGTGAGCGGATGCTTTGTGAAGACGACCAATTTGAACATCAGGTCAATCCTATATTTTTAGCTCATAATCCTTCGCCTCCTCTGGATTACCTTTATGCAAACATTATTGTTCAGAAGCCTTCGTGGACTCCCAAAATCTAATAGATACCACGCTCCGGCCTTGTCTTTCCTTTCGCCCTTCATAGGCCAACTGCCAGCGGCTTGATGCCGAAGACTTTAAGTGTCCTTCATGCAACCGACTTGGTGGACACACATGCTTAAGGTGCAAAGTCGCCTTTTGTGACGAGCACTGCCGCCGCAAGGGTGTCAAGTACGAGCGCGGCAAGCCGGCCGCCTGTCCTAGATGTGGTCATGATATGACCGAAAGCTACCACCTTAGTGTATCAGGTCAGTTAATTTCTGCCATTATAGCCACCCCACGCACAAAGCCTCCGGCTTTAATATTCATATTCATTTAAGCGTGTTGTCATAAGTGAGCGCCGAACGCATTACCAGTCTGCTTTGGTGTTGCCTTCAGCATGAACCGGATGACTTCCAATAAAGTTGATGGCTTAATTTTTTAGAATTAATCTTTTCCTTTGTCCTGTCTAATTCGTTAAGTAATGGAGCATTTGTACCCGGATAACTCCCAATCTCAAAATAGGTCTTGAATCCAGATATAAATAGCGAACTCATCCTGCCCATTTTTAAAATATAATCTAAGCGTTCTCTGGATTCATGATAGCAGTCATATCGCTTGTCCAATCAAATGGAAATGAGTTGACTGCATCACTATAATGCTTTCACATTATAACAACAATGTCTTTTTTAATTTTCACTTTATAGCTCGCAAGTATGAATATGGACGTCAACTCCATGAGTCAGCCGAAGTTAACCACAGTGGTCACGGTAGTGATGAGGATGGCGAGGTTGAAGATGAGGATGAGGTCGGCGAGAACGGATATACTTCTAATTGACACCTACCACCTGGCCGTGAAGTCAGAAGTGATGAAGAAATTTGTCGTCATTTATTTTAA